TTTAGGGTTCAGGGGTTGAGGGTTTAGGGTTTAGGGTGTTGAGTCGCCCAAAGCCGTATATATCGACCCTGAAACCCTAAACCCTAAACCCTAAACCCCAAGCCTGGAGCCCGAAGCCGCCATTTTGGGGTTTTAACGGCGACAGTGTTGGCTGCCTGGGGAAAAATTTGAATGGTTTAGGGTTTAGGGTTCAGGGTTCAGGGTTTAGGGTTTAGGGTTTTCCAAAGTGTTAGAAGCCCTTATCCGTTTAATGGCCCGAGGTGTAGAGTCTAACAATTTTGGGTTAGGGTTCTGTGAAAAAGGGTGGGCAAGTAGAGGACTTCCCATGGCTTCCTGCTTATAGGGAAAGAGTGTAGCGTTTGGAAACCCCCCTAAACCCTACACCCTAAACCCTAAACCCTAAACCCTAAACCCTAAACCCTAAACCCTAAACCCTAAACCCTAAACTCTATTCCTTTGCCCCCCAACCTGTTGACAGGTTTTTCGTTGCTTCTCCGCCAACCAGGTGGATGATGGGGCTGTGCTGATGGCTGTATCGTTTGCTTCTGGTCTTCAGTGCCAAGCCCCAAACCCAACCCCCCTGACACTGACGCCCAAACCTTCTTGCTGTTACACGCTGCCACGTCTTCCTACACAGGTGTTTAAACAGTTACGGTACACCCAAACCATAAACCCTAAACCCCCAAGGCACGCGAAAGCTACCCGAGACCCTTTGTTAGTTCAGTCCCTTCGGCTCTTGGCAAACCTGTCGGCCACAAGCAACAGCTCGTAATGAATGGCTGTAGTTTAAGTCTAGGGGTAGTTTCATGGGCCCTTAATGTGGCACCTGACCTCCTCTTAAAGGGTGGGCCCTTAATTTGTATAGCATAGGGAGTATATATGGAGTACTGTTCAGTGCCCCCAAAAATGATGCAATTCTTCCTTATAATTATGTTTCATTTGGATTTTTATTTGCTTGCGGGGGGTTCCCCTATAGTCACCCTGTGCTTTCGGGCGCCTCTCCGCGTGGCAGGTGGCGAAGCGGCGGAAGCGGCGCGAACGACGCAGCTCACCTAAAAGGGCTAGAATGAGCCCTCCCAAGCATCCCAGATCCTTGCATAAGAGGTTGTGGGTCTAGGGTTCAGGGGCCCTGAATAAGATGCCACATGGTACGCCCATCCGTTTGCTAAGCCCCAAAACCCATCAACACGGGCTTCAGATTTTAGGGTTTAGAGTTTAGGGTTTAGGGCGCAGGGTTTTTGGTTTTTGGGACTTTTGGGTCTAGGGTTCTTTTGGGTCTGTGGCTCTCTGGAGCTTGGAGTCTAGGGTGAGCCTCGTTGCTGTGGCTGCCGGTCTTAGACTATGGGATCCCGCTCTGACGAGTTTCATGGCGAGCATCATGGGTTTCCTTGGGTTTAGGGTTTAGGGTTTTCGGGTTTAGGGTTTAGGGTTTAGGGTTTAGGGCTACTATCCCCCTAGGCTCCCCCCTTAAACAACCTTAATCGGCTTAGCTATCCCAAAAAAAAGCCGTAATTATGGGGAACCTGGGGGGGGAGGGGGGAGGTAGTGGGAAACCCAGCAGGGTTGTGTAGTAGGGAAACACATGCAAGCAGGGTTGTAAATCACCATCACTTGAGCACCTCCCCCCGCTTCGAACCGACCCACATGGTAGCCGAAGGTTCACCCTCAACCCTGAACCTAACCCCCCAAAAACCCTAAACCCTAAACCTTACTCCCTAAAACCTTAAACCCCAAAGCCTTAACCTTACCCCCCTTATCCCCAAGCCTCAACTCTAAACCCTAAACCCTAAACCCCAAACCCCATCGAGCCACTAGGGATCAGCGCCAAGAAGCGGAAGTGGCTCGGCTGGCACCGGGAGTTTAGGGTTTAGGGTTTAGGGTTTAGGGTTTAGGGTTTAGGGTTTAGGGTTTAGGGTTTAGGTTTAGGGTTTAGGGGTTGAGGGGTTTAGGGGGGGTTAGGGGTTGAGGGGTTTTAGTGGGTTTAGGGGTTTAGGGGTTTAGGGATTTAGGGTTTAGGTTGTAGGGCTTCGGGTTGCTTTCAGGGTTTTAGAGTGTTAGGCTTTCTGGGCTTTAGCCTTTTAGGCTTTTGGGTGTTAGGGTTTCAGGGTTTTAGAGTGTCAATTAGGGTGTTAGGATTGTAGGGTTCAAGGGTTTATGCGCCTTGTCACAGCATGTGGCGGTCATGTGAATGCGCAGCGCCAACCGCAGCAGTCCTTGTCTTCCCTCAACTAAGTTAGGGTTTCCTCTAAGCCCCTAGTCCCTAAGCCCTAAGCCCTAATCCGCCTGTGGCTGGGCCTGAGGCCTCCCACACGCTTTAAAGCGTAGGAACTCCTCCACCTTCGGGTTAAGTCAACTTACACTAAGTGTTCATGTACCTTGATAGGGTTTAGGGATATTTAGGGTTTAGGATTTAGGGAATACTTGGGCCTTAAAGTGCCTCCAATGTAGGGACTTTAGGGCCCAGGTACATAACAATGAGGTACATGCACCTTTGGGATAGTCGAGGTAGGCTTTGGAGGTAGTCGGGGTTGCTATGGTGCTCCCCTATAAGCCCTAATCCGTTCTGGACTGATGAAATCAATGTGGGGACCATCTTCGCGGAGATCCTCGTGCAAGAGCTCCACGATTTCCAATGGCGCAACCCGGACCCTGTCCCGGAACTCCAGTTTTCGAAGACGTACATGGCGTTCTGGACTGATGAAATCAATGTGGGGACCATCTTCGCGGAGATCCTCGTGCAAGAGCTCCACGATTTCCAATGGCGCAACCCGGACCCTGTCCCGGAACTCCAGTTTTCGAAGACGTACATGGCAGCCTCTTTGAAATGGCTACATTCCCCTGAGGGTCCATGTACCTTATAAGTATATACTTGGGCCCAAAAGTCCTTATGTAGGAAGTACTTTAAGGCCCAAGTATTCCCTATTTTGGTGCATGGACCCTTAGGGTTCATGCTTACCTGACCCGCGTGCACACGGCCCAGCCATTCGTATCCGAGGAGAAAACCTCATCAACTGGGCCTCCAGGTGGAGTTTCTTAGCTTTGGCTTCTTTTGAAGAACGAGTCCTCAAGGGCGTAACACTCAGACCCCTAAGGGTGTACTCCTAAGACGTACCCCTAAGGCTGTATATATATATATATTTATTTATTTATTTATTTTGTTTAAGGATGTACCCCCAAGAGGTGCCCTTTATTTACTCCTAATATGGCCCTTTTCGTCCCTTAGAGGATCTTATTCAAAAGGATCCCAAAACCCAGAATTACAGTATTAGGGGTCCTGAGCTTTCGCTAGGGATTTTCAAGACGAGCGTAGTACTGGAGACGACTAATCATTCCTCGTTTCTTCGCTGCGCGAACCCCAAACTCTAAACCCTCAAAAGCCCGACGAAACCCCACGCCCTAACCAACAATCTATAAGTCTCCAAAGGAAAACCACGCAGCCTGGGGAAGACGCCGAGGCACAGGACAAGGCCAGACGAGACTGGCATGAAGTTTGGGGGTTTAGGGTCTAGGGTTTCGGGTTTCGACCTAAACCCTAAAACGTTTGGGCTAGGGTTTAGGAGCGTTGAGATGTGTCGGGCTTCGGTTTGGACTCAGCACCAGCTTAGCTGTAGCTAGCTTGAATTTAAGTGTGCCTGCGACCAGGGGTTCAGGCTTTAGGGTTGGGATGTTCCCCCTTATAATACCCTAAGGGCCATGTACCTAAATAGGGAATACTTGGGCCTTAAAGTACTTCCTATATAAGGACTTTGGGGTCCAAGTATATAATTATAAGGCACATGGGACCCTTCGGGTTAACCCTAAACCCACTGTATCGGGGTTAGAGTTCCCCCTATTACAATCCCTATTCATGACTGTTAGTAAATGAGGGAACATCCCAAGTTTAGGGTTTGCTTTGCGCTCCTTGCCTCGAGTGGGTTTAGGGTTTAGGGTTTAGGGTCTAGGGTTTAGGGTCTAGGGTTTCTTCGACCTTAGGGGTCGTGGCAGTGGTTCCTTATGGTCCCTTTCTAAATATACGAGAATGACCCCCCACAACCCTATGCTACTGTAACTGTTGAGGCCGCGATGTTTTGCAGCTTCTTTGGGCCCATGGGTTCCTGGCAATTGCAAGCGCTTTTGGCTTTGAAGGCTCCGGTCAAAGGACTGCGCAAACGGCTAAGCCCTGAACTCTAAGCCGGATACACTATCAGGTCGCGAGCACGGGTAAAATGTTCGGAAAATCCTGACAGGCCTCCTTAGACCCTAAGCTGCTAAGCCCCATAACATGGGGGTTTACGAAAATAGGGAACCTCCTAAAATCGACCCCAAATGGTAGGATCCCCTCATAAGCGGGACCCCAATAAGGTACCCCTACTATTATCGTAAACCCCTTGGGTTGTTCTTTTACGAACAGTCATAACTAAGGGTCATAATTGGGGGTACTCTATATCCCTATTACTTAGTAGCTGAGTGAGTACACTTTACACTTTTTGGGATACTAAACCCTGAACCCTAAGCCCTAAACCCTAAACCCTAAACCCTAAACCCTTAGTATAAAGGGGGAACATCCCAAGAAACTCCCCGGATAGGCCCCGAGCCCTACGCACCGGAGGGCCCTCCGTCTTCGAAGTGCAGGTTTAGGGTGTGAGGGTTTAGGGTTTAGGGTTAGGGTGCAGGGTTCAGGGTTCAGGTTTAGGTTTTAGGGTTTAGGGTTTAGGGGTTAGGGTTTGGGGTTTAGTTTTTAGGTTTTAGTTTTTAGGGTTTGGGCTTTAGGGTTTAGGTTTCTTGCCAGGGCGGCATGTCCTGCCATGCACTTCCCAAGAAACTTCTTCAAAGTCCCAAGTGGGCCGTTCTCTCTGTACAATCTGTTCCCTTCCTGGGCGAAGCCTAAACATGACCACCCCCCCCCCCCCCCCCCCAAAAAAAAAAAAGAAGAACAATATTAAAGAAGAGGTTCAGGGTTTAGGTTTTAGGACCCTAAGCCCTAAACCCTAAACCCTTTTTCGGGGAGGGGGGGGGGAGCCATGTGCCTGCAGACCGCCGACACTGTCGAGGAGGCTGCAGAAGAGGAGGACCATGCGGCGGATGTGCCGTGGCCGGGTAAGTTCCGAGTATCGAGTTCGAACCCTAAACCCTAAACCTTAAACGTTAAACCTTGAGAACGAAATGGTGGGCTTAGGGATTAGGGATTTAGGGGTTCAGAAATGTAGGAAGCCCCGGGGCGAACCCTGAATGACAGGCCCTTCTGAATCCCCCTCTTAGCCCCCCCTCTTACCTCCCTCTTACCCCTCCCCCCTCAACCCACCCCTGAACCCCCACCCTAAACCCTAAACCCTAAACCCTAAACCCTAAACCCTAAACCCTAAACCCTAAACCCTAAACCCTAAACCCTAAACCCTAAACCCTAAACTAAAACCCTAAACCCTAAACCCTAAACCCTAAACCCTAAACCCTAAACCCTAAACCCAAACCCCCCCCTAAAGCAACACCTAGAATCGACCTAGCAAGCCCCAAGTGCTTCCCTGATGCAAGCAAGAGTTGTCTGTATGGACCCTCAGGGTTACCCTAAACCCTAAACCCGAAACCCTAAACCCTAAACCCGAAACCCTGAACTCTAAACCCTAAACCCTGAACCCCAAACCCTAAACCATAACACCGTCCTTTAGACCCTGAGCCATGGGCCCATCTCTACCTTACTTAGCCCATACCTGATCTGTTTTAAGCTTCTTGCGGTTTCCTTATGTAGTAGGAACCATAAAGTTAAACCCTTCTGTCCCGTACCTAGCCACCTGCTGTACTCAGGAATTCACGCATCTGCAGACGCATCGGTGCACGGGCAAGGCGTGGGCCAAAGCACACCCCAGGACCAAAACCCCATAAACCCCAAAACCCCTTGGATCACAGACGTCCGGTATATGATGCAAATGAGAGGGGTTCCTCAGTGCAAGGGGTTCTTGAATAAAAGACACCTTACTGTAAGGGGTTGCTGCTGTTTGGGAAACCCAAAACCCAAAAGCCTAAACCCTAAACGCTAAACCCTAAACCCTAAACCTGTCTGAAGGGTCCCTTACTATCGGAAACGCCCAACTAGCCCCCCAGAGTAGGCCCCTATTCCCTAATTTTGGGGTTTAGGTTCCCTTGTAAGCCCCTTTTTAGCAAAAAAAGGTACCCTTTTCTATTCTTGGCAAATTCCTGGGTTCCTCTTGGATGAAGTAGTCTAGCAGGCACTCTCCATGGCCTGGAACGGCCCCCAGAGTGCCGTGCTGCTGGGTTTGACCAACAATGTTCTGGAAACCCTGCGTCGCTCGGCCTGCATTCGACTGTGCTATAGTGCTATATGATGTTATGTTATCCTCTATGGCGCAACTTAAATCATCTGTTATGTTCTTTATAATACATTTGTTCACTATGGCATAACGTCGAAATATCTTACTGTACGAAGAATACCATACGAATGCCTTGTTATGTTCTACCCTACTTTTCTGCCGTGCCATACAATACATGAGACCACACGAAGATACTAAAATGCACGAGATTGGATTGTGCAGTACTATACTACACCACACCTTTCGATTCTTTAATTTTGCCATACGTTTGCTGCACTGCTCTTGAATTTTACATTGGCTCATTACTATTGATGTACTGCATTATACTGTACAACTTCTATAGAAGATAGAACTTTTCTACTTGTGCCACATCACATCATGAAGTCATGAAGAGCATCCATACATAGTCACCCGGGGTTCTTGGTGGATTTAGGCTCTTGGGGTGCTTGTCATGGTCAGTTCTGTCAATGCGGGCGCCGCTTTGAATACCCCAAAGGGTTTAGGGCCAGTTTAGGGCGCAGGGTTTAGGGTCATGCACGGACCTCCCTTTCTTTGTCGCTCATAATGGTGGGTCCTACGTCGGGAGCCTTTGCCTGCCCGTGTTTACACTTTTGGTTTTAGGGCTGAGGATTTAATGTTCAGGGTTTAGGGTTAGGGCGCCACAGCACCCTCATATACCACCAGGACCCATAAAAGCAAAGCGCACGTAGGCACAGGCAGTCATTATGGGTGCTTTTGAGGGCTAGGTAGACCTTACCTTAGGGACGAAGAAGGCGAGCGGCCCTCAACCCCTGAACCCTTCCGCAAAAAAAAACTGCCTCCGTGTGCCAGAGCCAAGGAATATCCCCAGCTGAAGGGGACGAGGACTCCCGCTGGGTCTGTAGGGTCTATAAACCCCTAAACCACTAAAACCCTAACCCCCTTAACCCCTATACCCTAAACCCCTAAAACCCCAACCCCCTAAGCCCTAAACCCCCATGAGCGTGGGTCGGACAGACGTATGGGGTACAGGGCGTAAACCCTAAACCCTAAACCCTAAACCCTAAACCCTAAACCCTAAACCCTAAACCCTAAACCCTAAACCCTAAACCCTAAACCCTAAACCCTAAACCCTAAACCCTAAACCCTAAACCCTAAACCTAGACCCTGCTTCACCCTCAAGCGCCTTTGATGGGGTTCCTTGCAAGGCTTCCCAAGCCCAAGGGTTACGAACTTGGTTTAGGGTTTAGGGTGCAGGGTTCAGGGTTTAGGGTTAGGGTTTAGGGTATAGGGTTTAGGGTTTAGGGTTTAGGGTTTCGGGTTTCGGGTTTTTGGGTCTGACTAAGGTAGTAGCTCTAAACCCGACATCCTAAACCCAGCAAGCCCCCCTACTTAAACCTAAAACTTCAAAACCCCCCACAAACATTGTATCAACCCGAAGCCCAGAAACCTGACGCCCCAAACCTCGCAAGGACGGGGTAGGGTATTTTTTTTGTGTTTTTTTCTGGTTTTTTTTTGTGTTTTTTTTCTGTTTTTTAAGCAAGAAAGAAAGAAAGACAGAAAGAGAGAAAGAAAGAAAGAAAGAAAGGAAGAAAGAAAGGAAAGCAAGACAGAAAGAAAGAAAGAAAGGAAGAAAGAAAGGAAAGAAAGAAAGGAAAGCAGGACAGAAAGAAAGAAAGAACTAAAGAAAGAAAGGCCGAAAGAAAGGAAATCAAGACAGAAATAAAGAAAGAAAAAGAGAAAGAAAGAAATAAAGAAAGAAAGAGAGCAATAAAGAAAGAAGGAAAGCAAGACAGAAAGAAAGAAAGAGAGAAAGAAAGAAAGAAAGAGAGAAAGAAAGAAAGAAAGAAAGAAAGAAAGAAATAAAGAGAGAAAGAAAGAAAGAAAGAACGAAAGAAAGAAAGACAGAAAGACAGAAAGAAATAAAGAAAGAAAGAAATAACCCCCCCCCCGCTTTGTTTAAGCCGTGCAAGCTTGCCTCAAAGCATATGCCATATGCACACTTTTGCGGAAACCCATCATGCGAGAATCGTCACATTTTCGGAAACCCATCATGCGAGAATCGTGTTTGCAAATGGGGGGGGCTGCGCCCCCCCTAACCCCCCCGCTTTCTCAAGCCGTGCAAGCTTGCCTCAAAGCATATGCCATATGCACACATTTTCGGAAACCCATCATGCGAGAATCGTGTTTGCAAATGGGGGGGGCTGCGCCCCCCCCAAGCCCCCGCTTCCCGCAACACACCCTACACCCTAAACCCTAAGCCGTAGTTCCTGCCATATGCACACTTTTGCGGAAACCCATCATGCGAGAATCGTCACATCTTCGGAAACCCATCATGCGAGAATCGTGTTTGCAAATGGGGGGGGCTGCGCCCCCCCCAACCCCCCCGCTTTCTCAAGCCGTGCAAGCTTGCCTCAAAGCATATGCCATATGCACACATTTTCGGAAACCCATCATGCGAGAATCGTGTTTGCAAATGGGAGGGGCTGCCCCCCCCCCCAACCCCCCGCTTCCCGCAACACACCCTACACCCTAAACCCTAAGCCGTAGTTCCGGACTGAAGGGGCAATGATACGAGGAGCAACCTTGACCCCGCAAACCGTAGAGCCTAATAAGACCCAAATCGTCCACCATAAGCCGCAAATCCTGATAGAATGTTTGCGGCCTACATGCGCAGTAAGCCCTAAACCGAAGCAAAGTTTCAGATTGAAGCATCCGAGGTTCCTCTTGAACCAGCCCCGGACGTTAACTAGCTTTTGAGTCCTGTCGGGGCCAACGATGGCCGCCCCGACGCTCCAAGCGCGAGTTGCAAAAGGACGAAGGGTTGGACGTAATGTGTTGTTGTAGCACGTTGAGATTTGGACCTGTTCCGGACACGCGGTGCCGCTGAGAGGCCATCGGAAGCTGAAAACCAGCAAAATTCACCAAAAAAACCAGAAAAATACCCAGAAAAGAATTCCCACCAGAGGAGGACGACAGGCAGAACCAGGAGGGCATGTTCTGAAAACCACAAGAAAAGCAAGAAGAATCAAGAAAATTCACAAAAAAAAACCAGAAAAATTGACAAAAAAAATCCTCGCTCCGCAAGGACGCCCCTGCGCTGCAGCTGGAGTCGTCCCTGTCACTGGAGCAGGGGGGCCTGGAGCTGCCTCCTTTCCCATGCTCCAAGGTAAAAAGTCCCAGACCCTAAGCCCGAAGCCCCAAACCCTCAAAACCTGGGTTTAGGGTTCAGGGTGAGTCGTGGTCTGAGGGCTTACTTAGGGTCGTGGGGTTTAGTGCTAAAGCGGGTATTAAACCCAAATACATGGAGCTCACAGGGCGTGTTGTGTTGTTCAACTTGCCAACCCTGTGGTACTTTCTTTTTTTCTCTTCATTTTTTCGTTTTTTTGGCTCTAGGTTCCCTTATACAGTAGCCAACCCCAGAACGGGTATCCTTACTATGATATGGTTACCGGGCTTGTCGGAATTGCGTGGTTCTTTCGTAGTTTCTGCTGCGTCTCTGCCCTAGCCAGGTTGTGTAACCTTTCTGCTACATTTAATCTAAGGGACATGCAACACTGCTGTAATCAATCACTGGGCAGCTATTACACCCTTTCTAATGGTACTTTGTTGCTCGGGGCTTAACCTGCTTGATGGTTTTCGGGTGAGCAGGGCGTGTCGAACATAGCTGCTGCCCCTTTTACGAACAGTCCTTAACAGGGCTCATAATGTGGGGGTGTGCTAGAATCCCCATTTAAGGGCTGTTAGTATAAGGGGGAACATCCCAGCGCACAGCTCGTTCATGATGCTGCCATCTGCTCATCTCAGATACAGCCAGACTTGTCCAGCACTGCCCCATGACTCACTGACGTGGTTGGCTCCACCTTAAACCCCTAAACCCATCAAGAAGAACACCCTCGACACAATGCAACAAGCCGTACAACCCGAAAGTGTCTCAGCGCATGCAATATATCAAGCGAGTCAGGGATCTTCTAGGGGGACTTCATGTAAGAGAGGCTCCAGGGGAACATCTGTTTTAGAGTTTAGGGTTTAGGGAGTATAGCCTACTTCCGACCAATGTGTTTTGCCAATGTGTCTGTTGTTTTTTTTGGCATGCAGGCTTCCTACAATGTTCTGATTGGTCGCGCAATCAGTGGTTGCCAGGGCTTTTAGTGTAGCATACCAAGAAGGGTCCATATTGTGTTGCCTCATAAAGGGTTTAGAAGGCTCGTCGACACTTGCAGGCTTTGCGGCCACCGCACCGGCGTGCGTGCGCTGGCTGTCGCCCAGGACGACTCCATGCCCCTCTGCCAACATCATCCTCTTAGGGTTTTTTGGGTTGTGGGTTTTGGGTTTAGGGCACGGGGAGGGTTCATGGTTTAGGGGCAATACCCTGAACCCTATAACTAAACCCTGAAACCCTAAAGCCGCTAATGAAACCCTCAAGCCCTAAAGCCGCATTCCTTGGTACTTTTTTGGTTGTATAGGCCCACCTCAAAACCTGGAATCCTGATCTGCTCCCTAGACTCTAGACCTTAAATAGGCTCATTGCAGTGGGGGGGTGTAGGTTTAGGGTTTAGGGGCTTGTAGAGTCTAATTAGCCCTAACCCCTAAGCCCGAAGCCCCAAACCCTAAAGGATAGCTCGACAAACTCTTATGTAGTATGGTTCTTTCGACACAGCCCTCGAGCATCAGCGGCTCCGTCCTCCAGGCATGCGTGGCTTATGGGAGCATATGCCGGCCTCATAAACGGAAATGTCCGTTGGTCCGGTTTCAAGTTGAAGTTTTCTGGTGGGCTCCTTGCAGAAGGCCACCCAGAACTCCAAATCCTGTTGTGCGGTGTGATCAGGAAAAGGGAGCGCCCGGATGGGGGACGGGAACCCTCCCTGGAACCCTGAACCCTGAATCCTGAAACCTGCCCCTGAACCCTAAACCCTAAACCCCAAACCCTAAACCCTCCTTCAACCCCCAAATCTCGAGGTTCCTCTCTCTGAGCAACGAGGCGGTGAAGGTCTGGAGTGCCTCCACGGCTCGCTGCACCCGGCTCCGCAAGAAGAGGGGGGGTTCGTGTTTGGGGTTTAGGGTTTAGGGTTTGGGGTTTGGTTAGGGTTTAGGATTTGGGGTTTGGGGTTTAGGGTTAGGGGTTTAGGTTTGGGTTCACGCAGGTTTAGGGTTTGGGGTTTAGGGTTTAGGGTTTACGGTTAGGGGTTTGGGGTTCAGGGGGGGGGGGGGGGGGTTCGGCTTTAGGGTTTAGGGTTAGGGGTTTGGGGTTCAGGGGCGGGTTCGGGCTTTAGGGTTTGGGGTTTGGGGTAAAGGGTTGAGGGTGAAGGGCTTGGGGTTTAGGGTTTGGTGTTTCGGGTTTTGGGGTTTGGGGTTTAAAGTTTAGAGTTTGGGGCTTAGGGTTTGGGGTTTAGGGATGAGGGTGTAGGGTTGGGGTTTAGTTACAATAAACCCTAAACCCTAAACCTTAAACCCTAAACCCTAAACCCCGCAAGGTCAAGGTTTGGGGATGACTCTGCGTGGTTTTTGTTCGGGTCACTTGGGGGGAGGTTCGAGTTGAGTTGTGGTTGAGCTCGGGGCTCTGTGGTTGGAAGGATGCTTTGGTTGTGCTGTGTCCGCTTCACTGGTTTGTCTAGGGTTTAGGGCTCAGGGTTTAGGGTTTAGGGCTTAGGGTTTAGGGTTTAGGGCTTAGGGTTTAGGACTTAGCGTTTAGGGTTTAGAGTTTGTTTTGGGTTGCACGGCGGTACACATACCCCATGCTACAATGATGCCCGTTCGGGTACAATGACACCAAACCCTTTTGGGTTTGACTACTACAGAAGGAAACCCGGATAAATCCCAAAACCCAAGCTAATATAAAGCCCTCAAAGCAGAGTCTCCCTAACAAACCCTAAACCCCAAACCCCAAACCCCAAACCCTAAACCCTAAACCCTAAACCCTAAACCCTAAACCTAAAGCCTGCTAAATCCCGAGGCCTCTTGAAGCTCCTCAGAACTCCTACAAACCCCAAAAGCCCTTTAGTGTGTAGGTTTTCCTGCAAAGGGGGTTTAGGGTTTAGGGTTTCGGTTTAGGGTAGTTTCATGGGTCCTTAATTTGGTCCCTTACCTCCTTTATAGGGTTCTGATGTATGGACCGTTTATTTGTATGTGGAGGAACCATGTAACTACCCTGAGACTCAACTTAGGTGTGCGAACCATCGCGCCTGCGCCTTATTGGTGCAACAGCAAGACATGCGACGAGTGGCGTCGGGTTTGGGAGCTATAGAAGATTTTTAGGTTGAGGGATTTCGGGTTTAACGGTTTGGGGATTCAAGGTTACCCGTGTTTAATGGGCTTAAGGGAGTAAGGGGTTTACGGGTTAGTGTTTAGGGGAAAAGTGAATATGGGGCCGCCTGAACCCTTAAGCATAAATCCTAATTTCTTAAACCTCTAAACACCCTAAACCCTAAACCCTAAACCCTCCTGAAAAGTCAGCCTCGGGCCTGTTGAGCAGCATGTCTAGTTGGTAGGTCAAGGAGTTCAGGTTCTCCCCTCCATTGACTCCAATAGGGTTTAGGGTGTAGGGTTAGGGTTTAGGGTTTAGGGTTTAGGGTGTACTCCTTCAACGTGACATGGAGCCGTCCCCCCTACTTTTACTTTGTAGGTGCCCTCTTGTGGGTTCGAGGTACTGTGGCTTCGGGTTATCAGCTCCGTGCCCTACGGTTCGTAAGGCCCAACCTTGTAAACCCTAAGCTCGAAATCCTGAAAGCCCAAAAGTCATCAGGGGTGCCCTCAGCTAGTTCCCCCTAAACCTGGACCCCCAAAGCTGCTTGAAGCTAGGGTTTAGGGTTTAGGGTTTAGGGTTTAGGGTTTAGGGACCCAGGTCAGGTTACGGCCTTTGCGGCTTCTTCTTGGCCGGGAACGAGCACGTGCTCATTGGCACGAAGGATGCCAACTGCTTGGGATGTCGTTCTCTGCATGGCTTAAGGGCTTCATGCTAGGGACCTGCAACCTATAAATAAATTAGCCAACAGTTTCTTAAGCACGTGCAGGTATATATATATATATATATCTGTATGTATATGTATATGTCTATTTGTACGAAGATATGTGTACATCTATATATACATATATACATATATATATATATATATATTTGTACTTGCTCAAAGCCCTTAACGAGGCACTTGCCCAATTTCTCAAAAACCCTAGCGAAGGCTTATATCAGAAACCGAAAGCGACTTGTTCCTTTCATAGTATTCGTACGCGCTTATGGTTAGGTCCGTAAAGGCCCTTATCATATTAGTACAATCCTCACCACAAGCCCTTATGAATGTACTACGAAGAAAATATTATAATAGGGCTTTCAATCAATGACTTGAAACGAGAAAACTTCTATTATAACATGAGCGAAGTATCAACGAATACTTTTAACAAACGAACGTAGTAAGTGCATTTATTGTGAGAGAGAGAGAGATTTAACGAAGTCAATACTAAAAGCCTTCTAAGATATATTAAAATGCAAGCGGTTTGGCGCGCGATTTTTTTTTTTTTTTGGGGGGGGGGGGCTTTTCTCTTTTGGGCTGGAGGGTTTAGGGGTTACAATTTAGGGTTTAGGGTGGAAGGTTCAAACCTGTCTGGCCGGGGCAGGCATCATCCGGGCTCGGCTCTCAGGTCAGATGTGTTGCCGCCGTTAGGGTTTAGGGTTGAGGGTTTGGTGTTTAGGGTTTGTAGGGTTTAGGGTTTAGGGTTTAGGGTTCAGCATCTCAAAGTTCAAGCATTCACTAGGCTGGCAGCCTTTCAAGCGCCCGAAAAGTACCCACCCACCCAGAGAATCCCATACCATTAAGATAGTAAAAGTTTCACACGCAACCCAAATTCTTAACCCTACGCTCTCGTCCCTGAACCTTCAACCACCGTAGAACCCTCAGCCCTGAACCCTTGAACCCTAAATTTTAGGGCTCCTCAACCCTCATGCCAGCCAGTGGCTTTGCAAATGACCCAGTGCGTGCATGGGGTGGGGTGGGGAGGGGGGAGCGGGAGAGGGAGGCGGGAGGGGGGGGAGGGGGGGGGGGGGGGGGGGGGGCGGGGCAGGGGGGGGGGGGGAGGGGGGGGGGGGGCAGGGGAGGGGGGGGGAGGGGGGGGGGAAGGGGGGGTGGGGGGCAAGGACCTTGCCCACTGATTTTCGGACCTTCCCCTAATTTCGGACCTTGCCCGCGGATTTTCGGCCTTGCCCGCTAATTTTCGGACCTTGCCCACTAATTTTCGGACCTTGCCCGCTAATTTTCGGACCTTGCCCGCTAATTTTCGGACCTTGCCCGCTAATTTTCGGGCCTTTCCCGGGTCCGAAAATTAGCGGGCAAGGTCCGAAAATTAGCGGGCAAGGTCCGCAAATTAGTGGGCAAGGTCCGAAAATCAGTGGGCAAGGTCGTGGGTCAGCGGGCAAGGTCCGAAAATTAGTGGGCAAGGTCGTGGGGCAGCCAATGGACCTTGCCCACTAATTTTCGGACCTTGCCCGCTGATTTTCGGACCTTGCCCGCTAATTTTCGGACCTTGCCCGCTAATTTTCGGACCTTGCCCACTAATTTTCGGACCTTGCCCGCAAAGCCATTAACATTTATATTATATATGAAAGAGTGGTTTAGGGTTTAGGGTTTAGGGTTCACAGTTCAGGGCTTACCCTACACCGTCTGCCCGAAGGGTGGGTTTAGGGTTTAGGGTTCTGGGTTTAGGGTTTAGGGCTTAGGGTTTAGGGCTTAGGGTTGCGAAGGAGGGCCAGCTGGAACTCTACAACATTCAGCTGGGCGAGCGGGGACCCCCAGAACCTGACGTGGGGGTGCTTGGGATTTTTGGGATGCAGGGGTTGATGTAGGGCCCTTCTTGTATCCGAAACTACAAGGATATGGGACATTCCCCGAGAAACAAACCCTAAACCCTGTGCCGCTAAACGCGAAAGCACGCCCCCCCCCCCCCCCCCCCGCCCCCCCCAAACCCTGAGCCCGAAACCCTAAACCCAACACCCACCTTGAGATGTAGGGGCTTGGTAACCCTAAGGGTCCATGTACCTTATGATTATATACTTGGGCCCTAAAGTCCCAAAATAATTAGGTACTTTAAGGCCCAAGTATTCCCTATGTAGGTACATGGACCCTTAGGGTAAGCTGTCCCAGAAGCCCCCCGAAGCCTGCAGCTTCTTCCCGCTGCATCATGTTCCGCACTCTTCCGTGCGGGGGCTTGTTGAGGGTTTAGGGTTTCGGTTTTAGGGTTTAGGGTTTAGGGTTTAGGGTTTAGGGTTTAGAGCCTCTAGGGTTTCGGGCATTCAAGGTTTCGGCTTTCGGGTTATTAGGGTTATCTAGGAGAGATAAACTGGCCCGCACATCTTTTAGTGAGAGCTTCAGCTTGGCGGTTGAGGGGCAAAACCCTCAATGCGAAGGCACCGTGCCCTCTCGAATAAGCCCGAAAACCCTAAACCCTAAACCCTAAACCCTAAACCCCAAACCCCAAACCCTAAACCCTAAACCCTAAAACCCAAACCCAAAACCCCAAACCCCAAACCCCAAACCCTAAACCCTAAACCCTAAACCCTAAACCCTAAACCCTAAACCCTAACCGAGAACCTCAGCCCTGAATGCCAAACCCAAAGCTCTTAAATTACTCTTAAACCTTAAACCCTGAAGCCCTGAACCCTAAGAACCCGCAACCTGGGCTGCGGTTAAGGAACTTTCACAATAGGTGGTTTTAGGGTTTGGGGTTCAGGGATCAAGGAGTTCATATAGCTGCACATGTGTAGTGGGTTGGGAGGTTCATAGTTGACACCAAAAACACATCAGCCACACACAGAGACACACACGCACGCAGACACAACAAACAAAATCAAATCCTGCTCCACCCTACACCCTAAGTTTCCCTTCCCCCTCGCCCCACCCCCTGCCGTGCAAAAAACAAACAGCACCCCTAAGCCCTAAGCCCTAAACCCTAAACCCGAAACCTTAAGCCCTAAGCCCTGAACCCCGAACCCTGAACCCTGAACAGAACAGACTGAAAAGCGTAGTTCGATGAGCACATCTGCTGCAGGCCCGAAGGATGTTTAAGACGCGTGGTCTAACACTTGACCTATGTAGGGTGCTCTCTAAGTGGGTTCGGGTTTCGGTTAGGGTTTATCGTAGGTTCGGGTTTCGGTTAGGGTTTATCGTAGGTCTTTGTCCAAGAGTGCTTGTTGAGTGGCCCCTTCTCTGTGCTGCAAAACCGCAACAAATCTGCTCCAACGTTGTACTTGGGTTATAAGTACCATTAACCTCCAAGTTAGCCCATCTGCGTCGAGGCAGGCACAGACGATGGACGCACACAGCGGCGTCGCCTGGATGTTGTGCTGGAGCAGTGTAAAGGATTGGTTAGAGATGGATGAAGATGAGTGTAAAAATATAAGAAAATGCACCATTTTTTCCTTTTTTACCTGGGATACAGTGGGTGTCAGTAGAGGGAGGAGGCCCCATATCGTGCCAGAGAGTTCCTGGCTTGGGGCTTGTGAGGCCTCTAAGGGTGTGGTTTCAGGGTCCCTGAATACGGCCCCTTACCTCCCGTAAAGGGTTCTGATGTATGGGCCCTTAATTCGAATAGGGTCTTTAAGGGGTATTAAAGGGGTACCCCCTTTAAGGGTCCATACTAAGGGAGCATGTAACTGCCCTTAGAAGGCTTCTAGGCTTCATCTCATTCATTCCTGATGCTAGTAGGGGCTTTACGCGTCGCAAGTCGTACTACGGCATGGCAGAATACTAGCTCCGGGAGGCACAATGCGGGTTTACGAACATAGGGGACCCCTTAATGTAGACCCCGAAGGACCAGGATTCCCTTAGAATACGGACCCCCCACAAGGTACCCCACTAATATCGTAAACCTCCATATTCCCCAAAGCCCCTACGGCTTTTCCAAATTCCTCAACCCAAGCTTGCAGGGTCGTCCACAGTTCAGGTGTCCCTGAACCCTACATGACCTGAGCCCCCTAAACCCTTAAACCTAAAACCCTAAAGCCTAAAACCCTTAACTTTAAACCCTAAACCCTAAGCCCGAAGCCCGAAGCCCGAAGCCCGAAGCCCCAAGCCCCAAGCCCCAAGCCCCAAGCCCCAAGCCCCAAGCCCCAAGCCCTAAGCCCTAAGCCTAAGCTAAAAGCCTGAACCTGAAGGAGCATGTTTGCATGGTGCTCTAGGGTTTAAGGTTCAATCTTTACTTATTACCCAGTGTTACCCTTTTGCCCTTGTCTCGGTTCAAGGTTCCCTTATCCATTATTTGCTTCAGAACCGCCAAAACAAGATAAGAATCCCCCTATTGCCCTTATATGGAAGAATATTGTTGTTGTTGTTTTTTTTTGTTTGGGGCGGTTCTTAATCAAAAACCCTAAACCCTAAACCCTAAACCCTAAACCTTTTGTAGCGTATAGCTACTAGACCAAGCGTGGGCGTTTCAGGGTTTAGGGTCCAGGGTTGGACATCTTGTGCAATCGGCAAACGAAACGCAGCCTACCTGAAGGATCCTAATATAGTTCCTTTTTGGGTTTAGGGGCTTTATCGTGTATACTTCCCTGACGTACTTAGGTAAACCCAAAACCCTAAATGCGCGGGGTGGGGGGCCTTTGAGGCTGTCTACGGCTTGGCCCTGCGCCCAGACAACCAGGGCTCCTTGGCAACAGCAGGTAGGCAAAAGCTGCGTGTGCAGGCCCTAGCGAGGCGTTTCGTTTGCCCCTAAATCCGAAACCCGAAACCCTATTCCCTAAACCCTAAACCCGATCAATCTCGCGTTTGCCTTCGCGACGGTCACACGGCAGTGAAAAAAGAATCTTCGCTTGCCGGGGTCTTCAAGATTGGACTTCTTTCTGAGAATCTTGAAGACCCTCGCAAGCGCAGATTCGTTATGCACGGCCGCGTGACCATCGCGAAGGCAAACGCGAGATTGATTGGGTTCAGGGTTTCGGATTTAGGGCGCGACATCCACAGCAACTCTGCACCGTGGTTTCCTCAAGCCTGGGGGTTTAGGATTTAGGGTTTAGGGTTTAGGGTGCTTAGGGTATAGTTATACCGTTGTTTGCAGTTTATGCCGTTGGGGGTGTGGAGAAGTCAGAAGGTACTAGCTCCCCATACGGCCGCCGCATTAAAGAAGGTGCTCTTCACGATAAAGGGGCCCCCGAAAGTCTCCTAAACCCTAAACCCTAAACCCTAAACCCTAAACCCTAAACCCTAAACCCAAGAAGCTTGCCTTGCTTTCTCCTAGGTTTCTTGGGAACCCCCCCCCCCCAAAAAAAAAAAAACCTTACTCTCTCGAAGCACATCGGGAATCGGGTTTAGGGTTTAGGGTTTAGGGTTGAGGGTTGCTGGTTTAGGGTAACATAAGGCTACCCCTAAGGGTCCATGTACCTTATGATTATTATGTACTTGGGCCTTAAATAGGAGGTACTTTAAGGCCCAAATATTCCTATTGAGGTATATGGACCCTTAGGGATAGAGCCTTGGAAACGCTTGGAAACCTTTCGATGTAAGTCCTTTCCTTCATGAAGTGTTTATAATTAAAGGTTTAGGGTTTGGGGTTTGGTTTGGGGCTAAGTCATGCCTTCATCAAAAAGCTGGCAGGCTGTGTTAGCTGCTCTGCCGACAAGTCGCTGCGCTTCTTCGACATCAAATTCGTCAAGGCGCCAGTTCTCAGAAAGGTTAGGCTTAAGGGTTACTAGTAGGGGTTTAGAGTTTGAATTCCAGGGTTTCGGGGTTTGGGGTTTAGGGTTTAGGGCTTAGGGTTGACCCTACGTCTCTATCTAATGCTAACAGTGCTAACATCAATTAACCCAACTTCGGGCAACCGTGCAATTCGCTTACTTGTAGCTACTCGGAAGGGTTTGGGCTTCAGGGTGTAAGGCCTTTGGGTGCCCCAAATACGACTCAGCCCACACGTGTGAAACCCTAATCCCTCAGCCCTAAGCCCTTAAGCCCTAAACCCTAAACTCTAAGCCCTAAACCCTAAACCCAAAGCCCTACACCCTAGACCCTAAGCCCTTAAGCCCTAAACCCTAAACCCTAAGACTAAAGTTAGGGGTGCATGAGCCTCAAATCAGACCAGTCCAAGAGGCTCAAAGCGAGATCCTTGCAGCCCTAAACCCTAAACCCTAAACCCCAGGGTATAATTCTGAACCCTAAACCCTAAAAAGCCCCCTCCCCCGCGAACATGAACTTCTGGATCCGGTCATTATTGCACTGAACCCTAAACCTTAAACCCTAAACCCTAAACCCTAAGCCCTAGGCCGTAAACCCTAAACCCTAAACCCTTAACCCTTAACCCTTAACCCTAAACCCTAAACCCTAAACCCTAAACCCTAAACCCTAAACCCTAAACCCTAAACCCTAAACCCTAAACCCTAAACCCTAAACCCTAAACCCAACTGAGGTCCACTTGGGATAGTGGGTAGTAGAGCATCCCGCATCAAGATGTACCCTGAATGCACTAAGGGTGCAGGGTTTAGGCGGAAGGAAGCTGCCCTTCCAAGTAAGGGCCATGAGCTGCAAACGTGAAATCGCCCTCAACCCTAAACCCTAAACCCTAAACCCTAAACCCTCTTTCCCAAAGGGTCCATGTACCTATGTCTTGGCTTTCTTTTGGCTGGCTCTTGGGACTTTAACTTGTAGAAACAGCAAAAGCGGCCTGAAAGTTAAGCTTCAGGAGGGGTTCAGAAGTGATACAATAGGCCTAAACTTTAAACCCTAAACCTCAAGTCTTTGACCCTTCAAGCAATTCCTATATAGTAGCTGTAGACCACAAGTATACACTATGCAGGAACATGGGTCCTAAGGGTTTCAACATCCTTCATCTCAACACTGCCCTCCATGTATTAGCCTTTCTACTCCTGCAATTGTCCCTCCAAGGTTTAGGGTTTAGGGTTTCGGGTATCGGGTTTAGGGTAAGTTTAGGGTTGAAATGGTTTAGGGAGGCCAAATGCCCAAAGTCAAAGCCCAGAATGGTGCTCCCAGGGAGCAGAGACTTCCGTGAGCCTCGTAGAGCAACCAGAGCCATGGCAAGCAGAGGTTGAAGACTTTTAGGGTTCAGGGTTTAGGGTTTAGGGTTTAGGGTTTAGGGTTTAGGGTTTAGGGCTTAGGCTTTACGAATTCAGGGCTTCAGGGCTTCAGGTTGGGATGTTCCCCTTTATACCAACAGTCCTGAATAGGATTATAATAGGGGGTTACTATCAACCCTAAACCCTAAACCCTAAACCCTAAATGCTAGTATAAGGGCGAACATCCCAAGCTTCAGGGTTTTTTCTACTTGTAGGGTTTTGGGCTTCGGGTACTCTGGGTTGCCCTACACTCTAAACCCTAAACCCTTGACCCCACTTGGAGGCTCATGGTACTTATTTGCCAATTATAACTGTACTTACAATCCATTTGTAAGCCCCTTAAGTGCCTTAATATGGTTATTGTTACAGTTCTAATTGGTTAATAAGTACCATGAACCTCCAAGTAACTAAGCCGGGGGCGGGGTCTGCTTCAGGGACGTGTGCGCGCCAGTGCGTCTACACCCTGAGGGTCCACTTTGGAGCAAAAGGCAACAAAATCCATCCTAAACCCTAAACCCTAAACTCCAAACTCCCTAAACCCTACACCACATACTACATAAGGTTTTTGGGAACTTAATTTGGTGAACTCCCCTGGGTCACCGAAAACAGAGGGTAATGTGGGGGAGTGGCCCTCAAATGACCCTAAACCCAAAACCCTACAGGTCCTGAACTCCAAACCCCCCCCCCCTTTAAACCCTGAACCCAAAACATCGCTTATGACCTAAACCTCTATACCCGGGTAGGTTTTTGTGCAAAGCCAAGATAAATTTACCAAACCTTTCCAACGGCGGACATATAGCAGATGCATTCTAAAGCAGGTGCTGGCAGCACTGCATCAGTTTCACCCTCTAAGCTCCAGCTAGTTGGGCTCACCTGCATACGCCATAGTGTCACACGACATCCCGAAACCGTTAAAACATACAATTCTGGGATATGCCTGTTAAGGGATTCTATAGGGTACCTAAATCCATTAAGCCGCCATCACGGCAAGGATCGTGCCACAGAGCTGCCGGACGAGCTCTTAGCCGTTTGTTTCTCTGCCAATGGACACCCGGCTGAGCATGGACCAAAGATCTAGGGTTCAGGGTGCACAGTACTGTCTCTGAACAGGAAGGGTTTAGGGCTTATACAGGGTCCTGCAGGGTAGGCCCGTACTGCCTGTGTTTAGGGTTTCTGTTCCCTTACAGATTACATCCCCCTTTAAACCAACAAGGGTTCCCCTTTTTGTTCCGATGTTGCAATTGGGTCTAGGAGGTTGCTCTCGGCAAATCTTAAACCTTGTCTGCTAAGCCCTTCATGGTGTTGCTGGTGACTGCTTGTTCTAGGAAGGCGTCCACGGGAAGGGTGCTTTTGGCGCTCTAGATAGGACGCAGGCGCCGGGAGTCACCTTACGTCCCATGCCACAAGCATGAAGCCGAGGCCCACGCGGAGGGTTCGCGGTGGGGGTGGTGTTCTAGGGTTCAGTGTTCCGGCGCTAGGTGTTTAGGGGTTTAGGAGTTTCGATGTGAGGGTTTGATTTATAAGGGTTCATGTACCTCATTATTATGTCCTTGGGTCCTGCGGGCCCAAGATAGGAGGTACTCCAAGGCCCAAGTATTCCCTCTTCAGGTACATGGACCTTTAGGGTAGGGTTCGAGGTTGAGGCCTGGGGTGTAGGATTTGAGGTTGGCCAATAGAGCAGTTCCCTTTGCTAAGGGGGTGTAGGTTACTCGAGGCATTCGTGTGAATCCAAGGCAAGTCCTAAACATCCGTCAAGCAGCTAGGGTTCAGGGTTTAGGGGTTGGGGCTTGGGGTTTAGGGGTTAGGGCTTGGGGCTTGCGTGTCGAGGAAAGTACATCAACGTGGCTTTGCTGAACCATACCATCGTTGTGCTCTTCGAAGATTCGCCAGGGCCACAGTGGGAGGCGGATGAACCGTTGACCCTGAACCCGAGACCCTAAAGCCCAAAACCGAAAACCCTAGTTTAGGGTTTGGGGTTTGGGATTTAGGGTTTATCTAAGGGTAGTTTCATGGGCCCTTAATCTGGTCCCTTACCTCCTTTTAAGGGCTCCGAAGTATGGGCCCTTGGGTCGTATGGGGTATATATGTATATATATATATATATGCTCACCCCCCCCCCCCAACGACAGACCCCGGAAGCGAAAAAAAGGCTACGGACCATATGCTCTTCCCTGAAGTCCGACAGATCGGCCTGCCAGTTTGGTCATGGTAGGGTTTTACTAATTCATTAAATATTTACTCAACTTCACAGATTTGTCTACCGTAATTGATTTCAAACACTTTCGTTAACTTCGTTGATTTCAAAAAGCTTCATTCACATAATTTGATCCAGTCAGGAATTGCTCGAGCGAGTGCTCAAACAGAAGTGACCTGAACAATTTGCTGGACATCGAGGATTGCTATTAATTTCAAGAAGATTGCTGTTAGTTTTACTTGGGTTCCTATTAATTTTAATAGGATTCATAGCGTTCGTATGAGTTCAATAGGAATCCCATTTAAATCAACAGGAAACCCATTAAAATGAAGGAGAACCCTATTGAAATTGAGACGAGTCTTTTGTGAAAACTTAGTAAGAATCCTAGTACAATCAATAAGAACCTGGTTGAAATACGTAGAAGCTTATTAAATTAACAGGGCTCCTATTAATTTTTCTTGGAGTCCTAAATTCAGAGGAATCATAGGAAGGCCATTGAAATGAATAGGAACCCTTTTGAATTCATAGGAATGCTATTAAAATTTCATAGGAACCCTACAAAAGAATCTATGAATTCTTGTAAGAGTAACAGGAATCCGTCTAACATGAAGATGAATCCTATTAAAAGATTAAGAGGAGCCAATAAAATTCTATAAAAAAGTAACATGGACGCTTTAAAACTTGAAACAATAAGAGTCGTACTGTTAGAACTATGATGAACCCTATTAAAACTTTTAATAAATAGGAGTGCTAATAAAATTAATAAGAGTTACAATAACATTACTTCGAGTCCAAGTGAAATGAATAGGGAACAGGATTTAAAAACATAATCGGAGCACTGTGGAATCTAGTAGGAATCCTATGAACATTATTAGGAATCCTGTCAACATGAATGAGAAACCCTGCTAAAATGAATACGAAGCCTATTCTAATTAATCAGAAGCCTTTTTACATGAATAGGAAGCTTGTCAAAGCAAATGGAATCCAATTAGAAATTGTACGACATCTTATGAAAATGAACAAGAAGCCTATTGACATTAATAGGAATATGTTTAAAGTTTGTTATGATGCTTATTAAAATTCTTAGGCTAATTTATTAAAACTTTTATTCAAACTAACTAGGAATAAGAATGCTATTAAAATGATTAAGAATCGTATTCAAATTACTTGGCATTTGAGTAAAATGAATAGGAATCAATCTTAAACCCAATAAAGCCCTTTAATAGGCATCCTTTAAAATTCAATACGAACCTCATAAAACAAATACAGGAACCCTATTGAAAATCACTTTGAATGCTAGTAAAATGATTAGGAATCTTATTCATTAAATAAGGACCCCCATTAAAGTGAACAGGAGTATTATAAAATTGAATAGGCAGCCTAAATCATAATAAGGAATCATATAAGTACCCCTGAAAAATTCTTATCCAAACTCCAGTTTCCAAAATTCCAAAAATCCAAAAATCCACCCCAAAGGTTTGGATTTTTGGAAACTCGAATGGGAGCCTCAAAATCCAAAAATCGAGCAAATTCCTCGAGTTTCCAAAATTCCAAAAATCCAAAGAAAACCACCCCAAGGTTTGGAATTTTGGAAACTCGAGGAATTTGCTCGATTTTTGGATTTTGAGGCTCCCGTTCGAGTTTCCAAAAATCCGAAACTTGGGTTGAAATTTTTGGGTTTTTGGAATTTTGGAAACTCGAGGAATTTGCTCGATTTTTGGATTTGGAGGCTCCCGCTCGAGTTTCCAAAATTCCAAACATCCAAAAACTCCAACCCAAGTTTAGGATTTTTGGAAACTCGAACGGGAGCCTCAAAATCCAAAAATCGAGCAAATTCCTCGAGTTTCCAAAATTCCAAAAAAAAAACCCCCCAAGGTTTGGAATTTTGGAAACTCGAGGAATTTGCTCGATTTTTGGATTTTGAGGCTCCCGTTCGAGTTTCCAAAAATCCGAAACTTGGGTTGGAGTTTTTGGATTTTTGGAATTTTGGAAACTCGAGCGGGAGCCTCCAAATCCAAAAATCGAGCAAATTCCTCGAGTTTCCAAAATTCCAAAAATCCAAAAAAATCACCCCAAGGTTTGGAATTTTGGAAACTCGAGGAATTTGCACGATTTTTGGATTTTGACGCTCCCGCTCGAGTTTCCAAAAATCCGAAACTTGGGTTGGAATTTTTTGGATTTTTGGAATTTTGGAAAGTCGAGGAATTTGCACGATTTTTGGATTTTGAGGCTCCCGCTCGAGTTTCCAAAAATCCGAAACTTGGGTTGGAATTTTTGGATTTTTGGAATTTTGGAAACTCGAGGATTTTGCTCGATTTTTGGATTTTGAGGCTCCCGCTCGAGTTTCCAAAAATCCGAAACTTGGGTTGGGTTTTTTGGGTTTCTGGATTTTTGGAAACTCGCGGAATTTTGGAGTGTTGGTCTTCCGCCCCCTTCCTGGACAGACTGGAAATGCAATTCCAGGGTCTGTCGTAGGGGGGGGGGGGTGACCATATATATATATGGGGTAAACAAAAAAGGGTCCCCTTTTAAGGGCCCATATGAAGGGACCATGTAGCTACCCTTAGAGTTTAGGGTTCAACATCGGCCACTGTCTTTTCGGGATGCAACCTTTTGGTGTTTCTACGATAAGTTGCATAAGCGCTTAAGATGTTTAGGGTTTAGGGTTTAGGGTTTAGGGATGCAACCTTCTTTGAAAGGTTCTGCAGTCTCTGCCCTTGGGGGATCTATCGGGGATGTAAAGGGTTGTTTTTGGGGTTCCCCAAAGAAAGGGCCCATAGTAAGGGACCACGCAACAACCCTAAGATACCCTAAACCACAAAGCCTAAACCCCAAACCCTCAACCCGAAATCCGAAAGCCTAAACCCCTTGTCTAAGGTCCCGTATACGGTTTCCATGTAACCCTGAGACCCTAAGTGTGTTGGAAAGCTTGGGCCCCTTGAGAACCCTGAACCGGCATCGCAGTGCTTGGGGTTTAGGGTTTTGGGCTTGGGGCTTGGGGTTTGGGGTTTAGGGTTTAGGGTTTAGGGTTTCGGACCCCAATTGCGGCTTTGAATCTTTGAGGCTGAAGTTCTACCTTTCCTTGTACGGGCATCGTTTGCCGGTGATGGCGTTGGACGTCTCCGACGACTCCCAGATGCCTCTTTGCTTGGGTTTAGGGTTTAGGGTTTGGGGTCTGGGGTTTAGGGTTTAGGGTTCAGGGTTTAGGGTTTAGCTGAGGGTCCCAGGTTACACAGGCTTAAAATGCTAAGACGCGGAGTCGACAACACCACCAAGACCCATTTCCTTCCTTCCCCATCCGGAAGTCTCCTACGAACTGATGATATTGGAAGATGTTGCTGTACATAATGCTTCAGAACAAGGAAAGCAGTTTGAATGGCTAGATTCTGCAATAGGTGGCAACTTGGGTGCTGCTTACTAACGTACCGTGATCCCTCAAGATACCCTACACAGTAAATCCCCTTAATAGTGATTAAAAGTTTGGGTTTTGTGTCCAAGTACCCGAAGAGGATTGCTTCCGGCTCTGCGGACAAGAACGTGAGGCCCCCGACGTGCTTCAGGGAGGTGGAAGCTCACCTCAGTGTCACTATAGCACCTTTGAATAAGCTACCTACAGGCTCCGGGGTGGCACCGTTTGAGGGCAGCATACTGCAATGCTACCCCAAAATTCCCAAAAAGCAACAAAGCAACCACATTAGAAGCCTCCAGGGAGGGCCCAGCATGTTCAATTGCTGTTTTGTATGGTTCCATTTGCGTGGTGAGAGGGCTTGAGATATTAGGGGGAGATTTTGTGATGTAGGTCAGAGTTTCGGCAGCTACCCCCCCACCCCGGGCTGCACATACCTTGCAGATGCCCCTCCCCCACCCGCCCGCCCAAACCAATC